TAAACGATCTACCCTTTAAAAAAAACATGACGACAAACATGAAGTATATGTCAACCTGGCGTAGTCTAAAAGTTCCTCCAGGAGAGTTAAGATTAGACACTACTTTGAAATGTGGTTAAACGTTTAGGTGGAAAGTTTCTGGTGAAAATCAATGGTATGCTATTATCATTATATGATAAGAAAATAGAAGAATTGCTTGCAAGCTTTGATAAATTAATTCTTTCTATATTTGATTTTTTTAATAGATATAACTTTTAAGTTATCCATTTTAGAATTTCTGAATTGAAAAAATCTACTTAGTAGTACAAGTTCTTTGTTATGCCGTTCTTTGTCAAATTTAATATATAAGTGCCTAGCGGAATTGAGATCAAAAAGAACCAAGGCATTCATGCTAGAATCTACTGAATATAGCATAGTAATGGAATTCGAATCAAAAGACGAACAGAAAGCATTCATCGATCGATCTGTTAAAAATGAAATACTAGTGAAATTGGAATCGAAAAAGATGAAAATGAAATATTTGAGATGTAAGTATTGTGGAATTAGAGTTGAAAATAGAAAATATCAGTGGAATTGAAGTCAAAAAATAAGTCTGACGTTTGTTAATTTGTTAAAATAGGTGTGTTAGTGGAATTGAGGTTAAAAAAAGATGAATGTACGGTAAAGTGTTTATTATTACATCTGCGGGAATATAATTTTCTAAAACTGATAATTGAGATCATACTTTATTAATTTACTGAAATAGCAATGCTAGTAAATTTGGGTTGAAAAGGATGAACATAAGGTAAGACGTTAGTTATTGTGTCTGCTAAAAAGAAAACATACCCAATATTTGCTGATTTTTGATAATAAATGAACGCCATTCGTACGTCTTTTTTAACACCAATTTCTTTTTCATAGCAATATACAAGTAAGTTCATTCTGTTAGAATTTCCCATATCGGCTGATTTTTATAAGTAAAAGCTACATGTTTATTATTTTTAATACTAATTCGAATTGAATTGGAGTTACGAGGTCATTAATTAACCTTTTAAAAATAAAAAATCCTAATGCAATCGGAAATATTCATTGAAACAAAAAAATGGTAGAATTGAAGTTAAAATGATTAAAATGTTTATTTAAATAGAAAACGCAGTTACAAATATATAATAAAGATTTATTAATTAATATAAAGTAATGAATTTAATTTATATACTGTATTGATATAAAAATTTATAAATGCATCTATTACTAGCTATTTTATGAATTCTAAGACATAAAATCAAACTATCAATATTTATATGATTACCTTATATGGGTGCGCGTTATTTCGGGACGCGCATGGGCGTTATTTTGAAATCATAATTTTATTTTTAGGGGGTCCGAATTTCGAAATAACGCTCATGGGCGTTATTCCGCGAAAATACGGTATGTCTTTATATTTTGATTAAATAACTTTGATTTTTTTTGAATTAAAATTCATTGATTAAAATAAATATAATTATTTTTGGTTAAAAAAATTTTGAATTTTTGAAAAATTTTGGTCAGCAGGTAATGCAAAACGAAAAATTAACTTTGGCCTAATTGGCGGGACAAATTTCTTCTAAACTTTAAGCGAGTTTTCTTGACAACCACCTAACAAAATTCGATAAAATTATAATAATCTATGGGATTAAAATAAAAAATGTTGTGTATTCTGATTAGAAAGTTATCGAGAATACTTCTCTCAAAATTTAAAGAAAAATTGGTTTAAAATATAAGGGGCAGATTCTTTCTAAACTTTAAGCAAAGATTTCGGGACACTTGTAGATCAAGGAACCCAGTGATTATCACATCACGTGAATTTATACAATGACGTCATTTGTTTACCTGCATTAACAAATTGGCCTAAACTATACTATCACCTAACCCTAATACTAGCCCTAACTTAGGCCGAATGATTAATCATGTGATGTGATAATCACGAATATATCACTGGGTTCCTTGATCTACAATCTTCCCTCGATAACTACCTACCAAATTCGATGAATTGTTTTTTTTTTTAATTCTACACATAGAATTAAAATAAAAAATTTTTCATCAAATTTAGTCAGGTAACTGTCGAGAAAACTTCAAAGTTTAAAAAAAATTCAGCTCAATTTACTTGTAAACGGAACTAGTTATTTCTTTGAGTGAAATTTTCTTGACAGCTACTTGCCCAAATTCATTGTTTTTTTTTTTATTTGAATTTGTAAAGTTAAAATAAAAAAAAAGCATATCGAATTTAGTCAGATAGTGAGAAATTTTGCTCAAAGTTTTTAAAAAAAAAATTCAAAAGCACTTAATTTACTGATAGACGACGATTTTTCTGAATTTTTCTCGATAACCATCAGACAAATTTGATTAAAAGTTTTTCTATCTTAATTTATGAATGTGTAGAATGTGTAGAATTAAAATAAAAAAAAGTTTATAGAATTTTATCAGGTAGTTATTAAGAAAACTTCGTTCAAAGTTTTTAAAAAAAATTGCAAAAATTGTTTACATGTACGTTGGCCGGTGATTAATTCTGATTGGTCGAGCGTGCTTAGAACATCAATGACCATTACGTAATCTTTTGCGCAAATAGATCGGGGCACTTGTCTCTGCTGTATAGAAATATAGGATTATTTTCTGGATTGTAGCGAAGGACCTTAATGTCTACGCAAAGTGATAAAACATTATGTTTTTGATGCGTTTCTATGAAATGATTACTTGCTTAATGTATTTGCACAAGCATAATAAAGATCATATCAGAACATAATTTGAAAGTTGTTGGTCCGTTCGCGCGTGGGTTTATATTTGTACACTTACGCGTTTGTGTGATTGATGAGCTTTATGTGCATTGAACACATAATGCAATGCATTAACCTAGTATGCTATAAATGCTAATTAGCTGATGCTTGATTTTGAGTTATTAATTAAAATTTTATTCGTGCATGATATCATATGATGCAATTTGTGCAAAGATGATATCATTTTTTGCGAGGTACAGTACATAATAAGTGACAATTTACAAAAAATGTAAGTTATAGTACTTATTAAAAGTATTCTCGCAGTATTTATACAGTATAATAGTTTAAACCCAGAAATTTCGGATATAAGTAAACTTAATACTTTACTAATAAGATAGTTTCGTAGAGAACATCTTTTCAAGAAACTCAAGCTGCATCACGCTGGAAAAGGTCATTCTGTTAAAGGTTGAGTACTATCTACCTACTCTATAGTAAGAGGCAGTGTTAATTTTTCAGTTAAAATTTACTGTGCGGATAACGCACAATTTGGAAACTTTTTAGGTGGCAAATAAAGAAAAACTATGTGCAACTGTTTACATGTATGCACACTACTTACAAAAACGTTGATTTTTTCTGTATACTATTCACATATCTGCTCAAAAAAAAAAAAAAAAAAAAATGCTCAAAATTTTGTTTTTGTGTGCTGTGCGCAGTCTGCATAGCAGTCAGCCGAGATGTCGGTGAGTTTGTATGTTAGATTTGCATACTTATTGATCAAATTAATAGACGTACCTAAATTATATATATAAATTTTATACATTTTTTTATTTTTTAATTTTCTTTGAAGTTTAATATAAAAGTTAAGTTAAAACTTCAGATACTTATTCTTGAGTATCTAACGATTCTTTGTACAAAATTTGAGTAATAGTTAATAATAAGGCCATTTGAAGTTGATTCTTCGGTTAACGTCAACTCTTAAGCTAATTCAGCGGGGGGGGAGGGGGATAAATTAAACAAACAAGAAAAATTAAACAGATTATAAGATACATAATTAAAATATTAATTATGCCTAATCATTATATATGCGAAGTTCTAGTTTACATTGTTTAGTTAATGACCAATTAATAAAACAATTCCATATATTTATTTATCATAAAACTTATAAACTTATTTGTTTTTTGCCAATTTACCAATTTAGATTTGCCAATTATAATCATAAAAATATAAAGTAACAATACTAATAATAAAATTAGTAAGTTATTTTTTGAAGTCGCTATATTAGTTAAAAGAATGTTGCTAGTTATTGCCAGTGGCAATATCACTGGGAAACTATATCTTAAAAATTTACTAGCTAACACATGTCGGGTACTAAGTAAAAATGCCCAGAAGCACAAAAACCTATTCCCAACTAAAATTTAAACCTTAATATATAACTCTAACCTTTGTCTAAAATTGCATCTTAACTCTAAATTTAATGAAAGAAATAAGAGGTGGTGGTATCGACACTAGCAAAAAATGCTAAAATTCTAGATAAAAAATAATCGATAAAATAATTTTTCAAATTTGCTAGTTAAAAAGAATCTATAATTAAAATTTTAATTAGTTTCTTAATTTTATCATATGTACTTAATTCATATAAAGGTTTTTATCTTATTTATAAATTTTATCATGTATTTTTGGTGCACGAGTTGACCATTTATAACCATTTTCCTGACAAGAATTACATAACGGATAAATATTTTTGAAATTATCTTTTAATTCTATAGGAAATTCAAGCAATTCATCAATTTCGTTCAATTGGTAAATCACAATTTAAATTATAACGCATATATATACGATTTGCCAATATATGTTCTTCATAAAAAAGAGGTGAGCCACAACTATATGAAATATCTTCTAAGTAAGTTGTAAGTAAATCCATTTCTTGATCATCTAATAAAGTTTGAGAATAAATACATCGATATTTTCCACAAAAATCACATTCTACTAACATGTGAATTAAATTATTAACAAAATGTCTAGTATTTGTATCATTATTTTGTTCATTTAATAATACTTTGCTATTTGATGGACGAAATTGCTCAGTTGTTTTTTGTCCATATAATTCTAAAAATTCTTTATAATGTTGATCATCTAAAAATATTATTATATTTTTAGCTTAGTATAAATATTAATTTATAGCACTTTTCAATAACTATAATTAGCAAATTTCATATATAACACTAGAAATCAGAAAATCTAGAAAAAATGTTAATTTATAATTAGTTAAAAATTATTCTAATAATTTTTTAACCAATTATAGATTGGCATTTTTTTCTAGGTTTCTGATTGCTAATCACAGTAATTTGAAAAGCATTGTAAATAAAATTTATAAATATTGTAATATTACCTGATGATATTTCTGGATCAGGAAGAAATGCTAATGTTTTAAATTCATTATATGGCATACAAATTGGTTTACAAAAACAACAAGTTAAATTTCCACATTTTTTAATTTGAAAGGTATATAATCGATTTTGATAATGTGATTGTAAAAATTCTTGATAATTTTTTTTCTTTTTAAGACTATTAGCAGTAGTCATATGTTTTTGAAGTGAAGGATCAATTATTGATATAATCTATTAAATATATTGAATTAATTATTATTTAAAAAAATTAAAATTAAAAAATATTTCTTACATCAAAAAATTCATCAATTTCAATTTTAGTAGCAGGTTTTCCTATTTTAAAATAATTATCATGTAATTTTAAATGTGTAGTTCGTTCATTTAAAAGCTTTTAAATATTTGTTAATGAGGATTGCAATTCTTTTTTTAAATTTTGATTATTATTTGCACTAGTACGAATCATTTCTAAAGTTTTAAGTTGTAAAAATTCCTTTTCTAAATTATCATTCATTTTTTCACATTCTAATGAAACATTTTGTAAAGCTAAATTTAAAATTGACATAATTCTTTTAACAGGATTTGCCCAACTATGATATGGTGCTGTTCGTGCAGCTATTAACATATCAAAATTTCCATGTAAAAAAAGACAAATAAGTGAAATTTGTACTGATCCAAATGAACACTGATGATCTGGTCTTCTATCAGTATATAAAAGCAAAATTTCAGGTAAATTTTCAATATAAAAGTTATTAAGTATATTATAAAATTCAGTAGCATGTCTTAAAGCTGAACTTGGTTGAAATATAGTATCTTTATATGTTACATATACTTGACCATTATAAAAAGATTCTAATGGATCATCTGGTACTGTTACAACCATTGTTACAGATGGTGTTAATGAAAGTTTTGTAAAATCATGATCACTAGCTGCAAGCAATATATCTGTTTGAGTAGCAGTTCGACGATTACAAACACCTGTAGAGGTAGGACTTCCTTCACCAATTGGAATTTTATGCTTATCATCTGCAAAAATAAATGCTACATATTCTTGATATTTAACTGAAAAATTTCGTAAGTATTTAAAAATTGCTTGACAATAATGAAAATCAGGATGTGATTTTCATAATAAACATGCTTGTACTTTATATTTAATATTAAATTGACCAACATATTCTGTACTAACTCGTGCCCAAGGATTTTTTGGAAAAAACTGATATCCAATCCACCTTTCTGAAGAAAATGATAACTGATTAAATAATTCTATATTTGAAGTTTTTTCCTTAATTCTTGCTATAATTTGTTCTTTAAGATCACGAATTAAAATAAATGATGGCATATAAAGAATTTTTCCTTGTCGTCTATTATGTACTGCTGGTGTGTTC